GAGTCAGACACCTAACTGACTGAGCCACCCAGGCGCCCCAAGGGAAAAGACTTTCTCAAATGAACAAAAATTGAGGGAATCTGTTGCCAATAGACCTGCCTTGCGAGAAATGTTAAAAGAAGTTCTTCAGGGAGAAGGAAAATTATACAGGTCAGAAATTCAGATCTTAAAGGAAGAATACTGGAAAAGAAATAAGTGAAGGTAAAATTAAAACTTGTATTTTTTATTCCTTTTTTTTTTAAAGATTTTATTTATTTATTTATTTGAGAGAGAGAGTGAGCATGGGGAGGAGCAGAGGGAGAAGCAGACTCCCCGCTGAGCAGGGAGCCTGGATCCGGGATCCCAGGACCTCTGGATCACGACTAGAGTGGAAGGCAGATGCTAAACTGACTGAGCCACCCAGGCACCCCATGAAAAGAGGATTTGTTCTGCAAGTCCTTCCTTTTAAAATTTGGGATTTGTGGCACCAAAAAAAAAAGAAAATTTTAGTGAAGATAATTAGCCCCTTTGAATGTTAGCACATAACCTCCACTGTCAAGTATTGGGTTGAAATGGAACATACTTGAACTTAGGCATGCATGTGCAAAATGTTAGTTGCCCTCTGAGAGATGAGATGTTAGAGTGATACTTTAAGTTCACTGGCTTTCTCACCTTCAGACCTGCAGAATAATGTTGAACAGTATCATATCACAACAGCCACTTGGGTTTCTAATGTTAGTCAGACCTTCCTTTATCTGTCCTATGGAAGTTGGATCACACAATGATTCAAGATTGTCAGAAACCCTGGATTTCAGCCTCTGCCCTAAGGATTGCCAAGTACTGGTCTTTGGACAAATCCCTTAATCATATTGTGTCTTACTTGGTCTTCACTCTGGAAAAGGATTAAATCAAATACAGACTACTTCCAGCCCTAAACTCTGATTCTATCTCTTCCTTATGTTTTCTAAGGTAGTTGAGGGTATATATAAGTTCCTGGACACCTATTTCAAAGATGATGCCAAAAGCTTTTGGGATAGGGAATGATAACGCTGTTCAGTTTTGTTTTTCTCACATTCTGATTTTAGCTTCTGCATTTTGGTAGTAAGTGTTGTGGCTGGAGTTTTTCCCTCAGTGAAGAACTATTGAGTGCCAACATGGTGGTGGCTGCTTGATGCTGAGGATGATTAAAGCAGGGACTTGAGATGCTCTCAGGCTAGGACGGGAGGTACATGACACAGGGGTTTCTGATGAAACGGCACTCAGCCAAGACAGGTTGTCAGAGAGTCTGCCTGGCTGCCACTCTTCCCAACAGGCCTCATAGGTGGCACTCATTACCTTAGAATAAGGACCATTGCCAACCTTCCAGGCTCAGAAACTTTAAGTGTAGTTAGCACACTAAGAATGGATCTGTCTTTTCATTTATTGATTTAGTCAACATTTCTTGAGCACCAGAATTCTTGCATTTAAAATGATGGAAATTCAACTTAAATTGGTGTGTGCCAAAAAGGGCATGGGGGGTGGGGGGCTCCTTATACTGGGAAATCTAAGGCATGGGCAGATTCAAGAGTTTGAAGATAACAAGGCTGTCTCTCCATCTCTTGGTCCTGCTAACCTCTGTTTGGCTTCATTCTCAAACTCCCTCTGCAAGGAATTGCTCTCAACACCAAGCCTACAACATTCATATAGCTCATGATCCCTGAGTAAAATGGATCCTCTCTTTTAAAGCAGCCATCCAGCACATCTCATGGAGGGGCAAGATTGGTTCTGCTGAGCTCACATATTGATCTCTGAACCAATCCCTGTGGCCAAATTGCCCAGACCTGGTGGTGGGGGTGGGGGGAGCAGGATTAACCCCCTCCAACCATATGGAATGAATTCCCCACAGAAAGAATGGGTTCTACTTTTAGAAGAAGAAGGAAGGGATTCTAGGCAGGAAAACAATAGAAAGAATGATAGCTATTCATAGCCATCCACTGTGCTTAGCATTGGGCATATACCAGCCACCAGGATAGAGAATGTCCCTGTCATTAAGGAGCTTATATTCTGGGTGTGGAGGCACACACAAAAATAAAAAAGCAGATGAAATAATTATAAATTGCGTTGAAGCAAGGATCTGAGAAAGTAATGGCAGGAACATTTTTAAAATTACTGTGGGCTGGAAAGACTTGAGTGGGTGATATTTAAGCCAAGCCCTGAAGGATAGAAAAGAGCCAGTATGTGAAGAGAGGGAGGAGTGGGCTCCAGGCAGTGGGGACAGGTATAGAAAGATGCTGAAATGGGAAAGAGTTTGACATGTTAGAGAAGATTGAGGAGGCTGGAATGTAGACAACAAGGGTGGAGCAGCCCACAGTAGACTGGAGAGAGAGAGAGGCAAGGACCAAGATCCTGGGGCATCTTATGGTGCAAAGCTTGAGATTTATTCTAAATAGTTTGGAGTGTCATGATTGTCATTACACCAGTTTGAGGGCACTTCAGAATCCAGAGAGATGAATGTGCCCTGGACTGGCACTGGTGAAAGGAGATGGAAAGAAAAGCGTGAGGGGCACGTGGGTGGCTCAGTCGGTTTAGCTGCTGCCTTGGGCTCAGGTCATGATCCCAGGGTCCTGGGATCGAGCCCCACGTTGGGCTCCCTGCTCAGTGGAGAGCCTGCTTCTCCCTCTCCCTCTGCCTGCCTCTCTGCCTACTGTGCGCTCTCTCTCACTCTTGCTCTATCGCAAATAAATAAAATCTTAAAAAAAAAAAAAAAAGGAAAGAAAAGAAAAGAAAAGAAAAGCGTGGATTAAAAACACATTTGAAGGATGAACTGGAGTTGCTGATGTACTGGAGGGGAAGTGAGAGAAAGAGAGAATCGAGATCGATTCCTAAACTTCTCCTGGGAAAGACGTACGTCAGTTTCATGAGATTGGTGTATAAAATCAGAATGCCAATATGTAACTGTGATGTGGACCAGAATTAATTCTGTGTGATCCTAATCTCTCCCAGTAAGCAAAATCCCTGGGAAGCTGGGTTGTGTCAGAAAGTTGCCTGGTGAGCATGGATCTGTTGATGTATGGTGGCATCAGGTCACAGATCCATCTCAAGAGGGCCTGAAGAACGAGCTGTATGTAACATTTGCAGTCTGTTGGCTTTGGACTCTCTCCTCTTTACAATTTTTGAATAAACATAACCAGTAGGATATGAAATTTGAAGGCATTCCATTTAGTGGTGGACTAGTACTCATTTAGGGGTGCCTTTTTAAGGTGAATCTATGTAACTCTTGCCTCATTGTTCACATGTTGAGTGAAAACTCTCTGATAGCTTTATTTCTCATTTCCCCAAGTATTTGGGATATAATTCTTGAATTTCCATACAGTACTGCACATGTCTATATCATGTCTGAGGGAGATTTCCTGATTCATATATGCCACTCTCTTCTCATTCTTCTAGATGACATCCACAATCCAAAATCTTTCTCTTTTAACTTTTTGCATCTGTGAGACAAAGTATATCCAAGGAACACCCATAGTGTGCAAAAAGTGTACTTGGATTTACCGTAACTTGGACAGATGACTTGTTCTTGAACACCTCTAGTGTCTTCTCCCAAACAAAAACAAAAACCCCACATCAGGGAAATCCTACCACTTCTTTTCTCCTCTACCACACCATCATGGCCATGAAAATTAGCTGAAAGCACTCCTCTGGATTGGGAGAGGTCCAGATCACTTACCTTTTAAAATCTCTTAGTATAATAATGATAAAAAAGAGAGGGGGTTGCCAAAAACAGGGTTATAAAAATTCTGGTATATTGTATTTAAATACAAATGTATTTAAATACAAGATGTCACATTTAACAAAGTAATGTTATCAACACACACATATCGCGAGATAATTACAGGGTTTATAAAAAAACAATGATTTATAGTGCACTTCAGTAGACAGGTGCCCTGTAACGAAACACAAGTTGTAGATGAGTGTATTATTCTTAGTAATCCCGTCAATGTTTTTTTGTGACTGTGTGTAGAACTTCATGTGAAGAAAACTTTAAAAATCTAAATTTGAGATTTTTCCTGAATATTAACTTTGGGCCAAATGACATATATTGGTGTCGCCCATCTCCCACACCCACATTATGACTGTTGTGCATTTACTAGAAACTGATGGAAGTCAATCTTAGTGATAGAGGGCCTTAGAATATTACCTTTCCCAGCATGATTAGGGAACAAAGGCCCATGGAGGGCCTGCGCCACAGAACCTCTGAACCTAACAGGGACCTGGCTCTGCTGTCCGAGTGGTGCCATAATTAGACTGGAAGCTGCTATGTTGTCCCCAAGGCCTGGGCCACGCAAAGCGCTCCAGAGTCCTCGCCATTAACACAAGGAACAGGGATCAGGAACTCGCCCGTTTCTCTCCGCCGCCGGGCGCCCGGAGCGAGGCGCGTTCCCTTGGCAACCGGAGAAAGCGCGAGGAGGGCTCCAGAGCCCGGCTGCTTGGGCCTGGGCGGGCCGGGCCGAGGCGGGGCTTGGCCGCCCCCCAGCCCAAGCCGCTCGGGTTCGGCAGAAGACACACAGCGCGCCTGCGTCCCGCCTCGAGGATCGGCGCCGCGCGCAGCTGGAGCTTCTGGGCACCAATGGAGAACGAAGAATTTTCAGGCTCATCTGCGTTTACAGATGGGCATGGCGCGACAGAAATATCCGCTCCCTCCGAAGCCTTTCAGAAGCCCTTAGTACTCAGGCTCCTCGACGTGCACAAGCTTGAGGGGCTTGAGGAGCCCGAGGAACCCGAGGAACCCCAGGAGCCAGAAGAAGCCAACAAGCAGAGCCAGCGAGACCAATGGAACGAGTTTGATGAGCCCCAGGAGACATCTGAACCCCATACGCCCAATGAGCCCCACGAACCCTATGAGCCCTACGAGCCTTATGAGCCCCACAAGCCCTATGAGCTCCACGAACCCCGTGAGCCCCACAAAGCCTACGAGCCCCACGCACCCCGCAAGCCCCATAAGCTCCGCAAGCCCCGTAAACCCCAGGAGTCCCATGCTCCCCGAGAGCCCAAGCCCAGCGAAACGGAGTTGCTTCCCAGAGCTGCCGCCGTGGTGATCTCCCCTTCTCTGATGACCAGGTTCCCGCTAAGGATTCCGCCATCTTCCCTGAGCGGTAGGTATTGGGGCCCTTTCCAAGGCACTGAGCCACCCCGCCCTATCTGGAAACTGGGGGGTCCGAATGTGAATATTTGCATACAAGAGCTCACTTTGTTTTAATTTTTGTGTCATTTACCTGCTGCTTTGCAGTCATCTATCTTTGGACCGTATGTGACTCTGATGAGTAAATGAGACAAATTGAATCTCTTCACTCTCTCCTCTCTTCACCTGATGACCTCCTAGCTGTCCTTGATTATTCATTGTAACATCTTTTTGAAGCTCTTCTTTTTTTTTCCCTCTATAGTCATTGCATTTACTCTGGGTTACCACTTTGAACGTTACCTCTATTATAGCACCTAAGATGCTATCTCTTTCTCTGCATTAAAGGGAGGGATCCTTTGTCAGTGTTTGGCACATGGTGGCACTCAATAAATGCTACCTATTACATTATTAAAGTTGTAGGAATAACATACTCATTGAGCGGGAATTCAAAGTATACTTACTAAATGTTTACAGTCCTCACCAAGCCCATTACAGGGCTAATGGGTCTTGGGTATAAACATCCTTTGCTCTAACCACACTGGTTCACTTAATGACTTTTCCACTGATGATCCCCCCAAAACAATTCTTTGTCCACATTGGGCTTCCAGTCCCTCAGCTGACCACTTTTAATCTCGTGTTCTCCTTGGCTCCTCTTTATCAGCTTCCATTCTATGGTTTGTCAGTGGCTCACCTACATATTCCACCACCCTGTTGACTCTGGCTATCCACCATACTTCTCCAAGCAAAACCTCAACCCTGGTTAAACCTAACCATCCATCTTCTGCCTATACCTGAGCAGCTGACTCTTGCTGAACAAAATCACACAATCATATGGTTTCTTTTATTTCAATTTTATGACCACATATCTTACTGCTTACTTGATACTTCCTAGTAAGCCCACTTCATTCATCTAGTAAGTTAGTTCTCCTAATCTCTGAGAAGATAACTGTCTTCTTTACTCTCCTCCAAATTTTACACTTTTGACCCCCAAACATCTGAAGACTTTGTCTCACATTTTATTGAGCAAATAGAAACAGTCATGAGCTCTCTTCTTTTTTAAAAATGTATTTATTTATTTATTTGACAGAGAGAGAGAGAGCACAAGCAGGGGGAGCAGCAGAGGGTGAGGGAGAAGCAGGCTCCCCACTGAGCGGGGAGCCCGATGCGGGGCTGGATCCCAGGACCCGGGGATCATGACCTGAGCTGAAGACAGACCCTTAACCAACTGAGCCACCCAGGCACCCCAAGCTCTCTTATTTTCTTACCACTAATCTATTGCCTTACCCAAATCTACACTTATGTATTCTTTTTACATATTTCAAAGAAGAATTGTGCCTTTTTTCTGTGAAAAGCAAAATCCTCCACTTGTGCTTTGGGTTTCACTTGTGCTTTGGGTTCTGCTCTTGGCTCCTGAAGAATTTTGTTCTTGCCATATTCCCCCCTCCTACAGAATTAATTTCTCCATCTCTAATGAATCAGTCCCATGAATGCACACATATACTCTATAAGCATATACTCAAGAACCTTTCATCTTGAAAAAACCCTTGACCCCATGTCTTCAACATGGAATCTACCAAATTACCAGCATCTGTACATGTATTCTTTGCCTTTTCTCCTGTTAATAATGGACGAACTGTCTTTTTTCCTATTAAAGGCCATTCTCTCAACCTGTATGTTAGATACCATCCTATCTAACTTTAAACTCTTTGCTCCTAAAATTAGCCCCTCTCTCTCCTGCATCATTTTATTTTCTCTACTGGGTCATTCAGCACCTGAACATGAAGCAATAATTCCCATCTTAAAAACAAAACAAAACAAAACAAAACAAAAAACCCTCCCTTAATCCCATGTACCACTCCTATTTCTCTGCTCCTCCTTAGAGAAAAATTCCTCAAAACAGTTGTTATTATCTCCATATCCTCATTTCTCATTCTCTTAAGAACCCACTTTAACATTCATCTCCTCTACTTGGCTGAAGTGCTCTTGTTGAGGTCATAATGATCTCTGCCTTGCCAAAATCAGTGGTTAATTCTTCATTCTCATCTTACTCATTTAACACATTCACTTCCTCTTTCTTGGAAGCCCTTCTTTACTTGCCTTCATTGTCCTCCTGTCTCATCAATTGTTCCTGACTCAGTTTTCTTTTGAGTCAGGAACTTCTCTTCCCAGCCTCTAGGTTGAAGTGAGTGATGGCTTTTCTCTGATTCTTTAGAACTTTCCTTGTTCCCTAGGCAATGTCATCACTTCCATGGCTTTAATTGTATGCTGGTAACTTCTCAAATTTTTCCCTTGAGTTCCAGAGTTTTATAACCGGTTGTCTATTTAATATCCCTACTTGAGTATCTAGTAGGCATGTAAAATTAAATGTGTCTATAACTGAACTCTTACTTCCACACCCAAACTTGCTCTTCCTTCATTGTTCCTCATTTCAGCAAATGGTACCACCACTCATTCATCTAGGTGCTAGGATCAAAAAACCTTGTAGTCATTCTTGACACCTGTTTTCCTCTTAAACTCAGCCTCCAAACCATCAGCAAACCTCAATTTTGAGATATATCATGACTGAGCACTTATTAACATCTAAAGCTTCATCATCTTTTTAAGCTACTATCATCTCTTGCTTGATCCACTATAATGGCTTTCCGCTTGCTCTTGCTTCCCCTCTTGCCCCATTCCTCCTCCCACTCCAGTTTATTGTTCATACAGTGGTCATGGGTCTTAGAACATAAATTATATGCAACTCTCCAGAGGGGGTTCTCATCTCATATAGTTTGTAATCTAAAGTCCTTAGCAGGCCTGCAAGGCCCCACATGATCCCCATCCAGATGTCTCACCATCTCCCCATCATCTTTGCTCTCCGACCACGTGGGCCTCCTTGCTCCCACCTCACAGTCATTTCATTTGACTTTTCCTCTGCCAGGACACCCTTTCCTCAAGTATATGTCACCTTATAAAGATATACCAGATCACTCTGTCAAAAAGAACACTTTCTAGCCTGCTCATTTTCTTTAAAGTACTTGTCTTATTGACTGTACAATATTATGTGTCTATTTGTTTACTGTTTATATTAAGCTCACAGAGGGCAAAACCTTTCTTTTCCACTGTTTCATCCTCAGTGCCTCAAGCAGTGCCTGGAACAAGTTAGGACTTAGCAATTATTGTTGAATGAAAGATTTCTTCATTCAGCCTCTGTTACCAAGTCCAGTGGTTCCTTCTCTATCCTTAGGGTTGTTAAGAAAATTAATTGAGTTAATACCTGTAAAGCATTTAGAGCAGATTATGGTACTGGTAAGTGCTTAGTAGATGTTAGCCATTATTAGTAGTGGTGTTAGTATTTTTATCTTATTTGACCTCTGGGCAGCATTTAATATAACTGACCACTCCCTTCTTGAAATATATACCTCTTAGTCTTGGCCTCTGTGACACCACAGTCCCCCAGTTTATCACCTATGTGACTGCTTGCTTCTTGGGCTCATTTGCTGAGCCCTCCCTATTTTCCTGAACTCTAAAGAGCTCCATCCTGACCCCTTTTCTTTTTTTCTTTCTTTTTTTTCACTTGTCCCTCCCAGGCTGTCTTATGTACACTTACGGCTTTAAATAGCATGTCTATACTACTGCCTCCTAAATTTATATATTCCAGCTCTACTCTCTTTCCTGAGTCCCACACTCATGTATTCAAACTGCCTACTGGACATCTCCATTTGGATATATCATAGGCATCGCAAAAATAATATACTTTGAAATAGAAGTCTTGATTTCTCTCCCAATCTTGTTCCTCCCTCACTCCTCCAACTGAACGCTTCCAGAAAATGGCAAATAGATTGCAGGGGAAACAAGGGTAGAATCAGGGAGACTACTCGAGAGGCTCATCTAGAAATCCAGGTGAGAAATGGCCATAATTGGGATGAGGGTGTACCAATGGAAGTGAATGAATTCAAGAAATAGAAAAACTAGCAACTTGCATTGGATGCATTTGATTTGAAGGTGAAGGAAGAGGAGTCAGGGAGAAATAGTAGATTTTTTTTTGGCTTGATCAAACTAAATGCTATTTCATAAAGTAAGGATGCCACCCTTACTATATAATCCTGCTTGTGGCTTCCCATTGCTCTTAGGATAAGCCAAACCTTTGCAGGGGTCTCTAGAGTTCTGTGGCCCTCTGACCTCACTCCCTTCCACTCCCTCCTGCTTACTCTGCCCCAGTCATATTGACTTCTTTTTTGTTCTCTAAAAGGCCAATCGCATACTTGCCTCTGCTTCAGAATCTGTATTTGTGGTTTCCTCTCCCTAGATGCTTATTATTTTTACAGGAGTGTCTCATGATTAATTCCTATTCAGGTCCCAATCCACATTTTTCTTTTCTTTTTTCTTTTTAATTAATTAATTAATTTATCTTCCAAGTTTTTATTTAAACTCCAGTTATGGGGAGCCTGACTGGCTCAGTTGGTGGAGTGTGTGACTCTTGATCTCTGGGTTGTGAGTTTGAGCCCCATATTGGGTATAACAATTACTTAAAAATTTTTTTTAATCTTTAACAAAAATAAATTCCGGTTAGTTAACATACAGTGTAATATTAGTTTCAGGTGTAGAATTTAGTGATTTGACACTTACATACAACACCAGGAGCTCATCACAACAAGTGCACTCCTTAATCCCCATCACCTACTTAACCCATCCCCCCCCCCACCTCCCCTCTGGTAACCAGCAGTTTGTTCTCTATAGTTAAGAGTCTGTTTTATGGTTTTTCTCTCTCTCCCCACCCCATGTTCATCTGTTTTGTTTCTCAAATTCTGCATATGAGTGAAATCATATGTTACTGGTCTTTCTCTGCCAGTCCACATTTTTAAAAGGTGGGAAAGCCTAACTCTTAGAGGGCCTTCCCTGTCCATGATGCCTAAAGTAACCCCCTCAGAAGTAGCTTGATGATGAGACTCTCAAAAGTTCTCAGACTCTGCTTTAGAAAATACTACTTTAAAA